GTAATGCGAGATATTTATTCCTCGGTCTATTGGAAGCTCAGGGCAATTTCTACTGATTGAGATGGGCAACTTTATAGGCTTATGGCTACTCAGGAGGTTTATAAATATTGTGCTTCAAGACATTATTCAGAACTAATCACAAGACAAAATATTTTGTTTTTCTTAAACAAGACTGGAGGAAGCCATGGAAGAAACTTCAGAATGAGAGGGAGATGCCCCTACATCTTCAAACACCAAAGACCCCAAGTTTAAGGAGACAGTAGAAAAGAAAATGACGTCCAGTAATGCAGTGGCTTTTCTTGGTTCTTTGCCTGTAGATGGTAGAAATACCTGATCCGATCACTTGAATTTCAGAAGACCTCATTGGCTATCTGATGACCTAACTCTAATTATCTGTGCAAAAAAGTACATGTTTCTTTTCCTCAGTGGCTATGTCATTTCTAGCAGCTGTGGTGGGGTGGAAGGGTGGTAAATATTTACTCAAATATTTACAATATGAGGCAGATTTTGGTGATTCTCCAATAGGTAAATAAAACCTATATATGATACGTGTGGTAGACAGCATATTGACCCTCCAAAAATGTCCACATCCTAATCACCAGAGCCTGTGAATATGCTTCCTCATGTGGAAAAAGGGGACTTTGCAGATGTGAAGATATAATTATGTTAAGGATCTGGAGGTGGGAAGATTGTCCTGGATTGTCCAGGTGAGTCCAATGTAATCACCAGGATCTTTATAAGGCTCTATAAGGGTAAGAGAGAGGTAGGCAAGTCAAAGATAGGGATGGATATATGATNATAAGGCTCTATAAGGGTAAGAGAGAGGTAGGCAAGTCAAAGATAGGGATGGATATATGATGACCAAAAGAGAGAGAGAGAGAGAGAGATGTGTGAACAGGAGTGTAAGGATAATTAACAAGGCATGAATGATGGAATCTAAAGTACAGGTGGAAGCACTGTCTTTGGAGAGGAGATGGGAATTCTATCAATAATATAGGAATGTGCAAAGGGAAGTTTCTGGTATTTGGTTGGTATGATTGAGAGCATGGAGTTTGCAAAATGTCACCATGATGACTTGGATTTTCATTGTGAAATAGGTGGTGAGAACAATGTACTGAAAATAGGAGAAAAAATAGAAAATCCAGTGTTGGAAAACATGACTATGGAGGTTGGGTGAAAAGGGAATGAGAGAAATGCAGAAGGGCTGCCTGGCAGTATGCTGGGCTCCTTTCAATAGGAAGGAAGATTCAAGGAAGATTAAACCTCGCAGGCTGAAGAGAACCTGCACAACTCACAGAAATCCAAGTAGTCTTAATTTTGCCATCTGTCAGGTGGGGTTATCATCACACACAGAGTTCAGGGAAGATGGAAGAAGAGGTAAGAACACTTTGTAGGAGGTTAAAGAACTTTGTATGTATAAAGTAATAAGTGTTGGTTATTAGCAATCATTGCCATGAATTATCCCATGCCACGACTGTTTTTCTTCCCTGGTTTTGCAGTGGGTAGAGAGTGCCGAGTACAGGCACAACCCACTACCCACTGCTGGGTGGTAATGTGTAGAGGCAGGCTTGCTAAAAATATCTGAATCCCAGTCAGCACTTATTTCTGTTTAGTTCATAAATATGATGCCATGTCCCCCTGTTTGTCCTTGTTGGGTGG